AGGGAGGGAGGGAGGGAGGGAGGGAGGGAGAGAGAGAGAGAGAAGCATTGATGTAAGAGAGACACATCGATTGGTTGCCTCCCATACACCCCTGACCAGGGGCCAGGGATCAAACCCACAACACAGGTACATGCCCTTGACTGGAATCGAACCCAGGACCCTTTGGTCTGCAGGCCAACACTCTAACTACTGAGCCATGCCTTCCAGGGGTTCAGTGAGGATTTTTTTAAAAATTGGATACAAATTAGAAATTTTGATTTGTGAGTTGCTTGAACTATAAGAGAAATGACCTCATTGAAGGAGAAAGAATAAGGATGGTCTGAGACTGCATTTCAGGTGCTGCCGGTGATTAGTAAGGAAGATAGCACCTCTGCACATTAAAGGCCAGTTAGCCCCTCTTTTTTAGCATCCCATTCCAAGAGCACACAGAACTGCTTTATAATGTTAGTCTGTGAAGAATTTTAGCAGTTGAGAGTACGAATAACTTTTTGCAGTATATAAGCTCAAAAAACTAGGCCCATGAAGATTAGATGCATTTACAAAATTACTTTAAACATATTTGAAAACAACTGAAAGTGTTTTACATTTGGGGCTTTTCTAAAAACAATGAAAGGAGATACAGATATAAATTAGATATAGGGATAGCTACAGATAAAGATATACAGATATAGATGTAGAAGTCTTAAGGCATTTAAAGGGTTTCCTTGTAATTAAAAAAATTTTTAACATGTGGTAAAAATATGAATTCACCTATTAACCCCTTTTCTCCATTCCCCATTCTGCTCCCCCATTAACTCTGAGAGTGGGGCACACAGTATAGTCTCACTTGTTGAGGAGTCCAGTTCTGTAGCAACGAAAGAGAAACATTCCAGGGAGGACAGCAAAAATCCATTCCATTCCATCTCCCCCTTTCCCTTCTCCCCATTCACCATTTCTCATCTGCTGCAGTGATTGTTTTTAATTTAGAATTTAAAAAATTTATTAGCCCAAAAGAAGATATCCCTGCATCTAGGGATACTGTACATCACTAATGTAATTAGTGACCATACGGGACATTACTCAGAACATTGTTTATTATGTAGCAGAATATCTTTTTGGCTTCTACACTTCTATTTTTTAAGGGTATGCATAGCATTAAAAAAATTGAGGGTGTTTTTAGTTTAAAATTTGGTACAACAATTAAACAAATATATCTGTTTATGAATTCAGGAATATTTATTTGGAAAACCTAACTGAAACCTTGTTTTACTTATATATCATCTCAGCCATCAATGTTTTCTGAGTGTGAATTAATACCTCCAAGCCTTGAACAAGAAGTTGGTATGCCATCACTTTCAGAACTGAAGGAGTCATTAAACTTAGTGCCAGAAATAATAACTTATGAAGATGAAAGTGAACACAAAAAACTTTTCAAAAGAGGTGAGAATTAATTTAAAAATTTATTACTTATAAAAACTACAATGTTTGACATAAAAATTCTTGCTCATTGAACTTCTTTTCTGAACCTCCAGATTTTTTTTGATTTTTTAAAAAATATATCTTTATTGATTTCAGAGAGAGGAAAGGCGAGGGAGAGAGAGAGACAGAAACATCAATGATGAGAGAATCATTGATCGAGCCCGCAACCCGGCATGTGCACTGACCGGAAATCGAACCCCGATCGCCTGGATCCTAGGTCGATACTCAACCTCTGAGCCATGCCCTGCCGGGCTGAACCTCCAGATTTTTAAAAAGTGTTCTGTAGGTTGTATGGTGAAATCTCTGAATTATTACTGATGAGACTTTTCTCATCTTTCTCTTTATATTCTTGCAAGCTTAAAATGTCTCTGAAATTAATCTAACCATTTCAAGATAATTACACAAATAAAGCTAAGATACCTGTGACTATTCTATGGCTTCATCCCAGTTAGACTTAGTAAATATTGTTAAACTCTTTTTGACAACAGTTTGAGCCTACATATTTAACTCCTCTCTCATAAATTTCAGTTGGAATGATGGCAGACATATAATATTAGGGAGTAGTGAAGGGGGATTTGTGATACCCACTGAGAACAGGAATGTTTGCAGACTTGAAGGAATTTTTGAAGACAGGACTAAATCAAAGGAATTACTGATCAGCCTCCAAGTCAAAGCAAGGGAATGAAAAACCAACTGAGTAAGTGAATCAAATTTATACCGAAACTTGAAACTGTAGCAGAGCTCAGAATTGCAGGGTGGCCATGGGCTTTCAGCAGGACACAAGTCTATGAGTGCTAATGGAAACAACAAGAGACTTGATTGGATGACTGTGGTATTACACTCCGAGCCTTTACTTGATTCTGATGGTGACTAAATGAGACAGTCATTGCCACAGAGGAATGAATGAGGTTACAAAACATCTAATGTAGTCGTACTTTGGCTGACAGTAGACTTCCTTCCTTCTTGTTCCAGATCTTACTAACAAGCACGCAGTTGACATTGAGGATATAAAATGCAGCTCCACGGAGATTTTGGTCATCCAAAGCCAATGCGAACCAGAGCGCCATGAACCAGGTAGAAATTTCTAATAAATCATTGAGTTTATCAGGGGTCACCTATATATGATATCAAAGTACAGTGTGTTCACATACAAAGTCTACTGTGAGACAGTTTTCATGTTTAAAATTTGGTTATTGTAATCCAAGGTGTATGTACTATTTCTCTCTTATCTGCTCCTTTACATGTGCTACTATCTTAGCTTGTTATCCTTCTAGCATAAAAACTGAATAATACACAGAGTTACTAAGAATGAGAAAGGAAAATGGAGGAAATAGCATTGATATTAAAAATAGAAATCTTATAATATTATAACTTAGTAAATAAAATTGTATATTTTATCTCAGAATAAGCAATCTAGCTGATCCTTGTTACATTTTTGTAACTTTAACTTTTTAATCTCCCAAAGCAATCCTATCATTGTTAATGTTATAATTCTATCATATTTGGAGTCTTAGAATGATCTTTTTTCCAGTATAATGCCAAATTGTGTTGATTCTTAACTCTGTTGATGATATTGTTGTTTAGTTACATTTATAATTGGATCACATTAATCATCTATTTGGAAGTTTATTTCTTTAGTTATGAAAGTGATAGAAACTTACTATTTAGGAATAAATGAGGATCAGTTTGTCAAGCCCACCCTATAAATACATAACTCTGCTAGACTCCAGAATTATTAAGATGAAGGATTACTTGTCATTAATACTATTTACTTAACATTACCAATATTTAGTATGAGATTAAAGTAGTACTATCTCCTAAGTACTGACAACACAAGTTGTCAGAATTAAAAGCATGATTACTTATAAAGCTCTTAGAAATTATCTCATATAGTAAACTCAATAAAGTTTAGTTGTTAATTGATTTTTTAAAAACCACCACTATCACAGTTGAGACACCATGTGATATATGTGTAATTCCTTATATAGATGGAGAATGAAAACAGTTATTTTGTATTTCAAGTAATCCAAGTTTTTGTTGAAAATTTTTGTTGTAACATAATGATCAAACATAATAGTTTCTAACAAAAAGTTCTGTTATACTTAATTTTATTCAATATTTACATAATATTATGATTTTTAAAAATGTTTATGTATTCTAGAAGAGTTAGAAGAAGAGTTAGAAATGCCATTACCTTCTCTACACCTAACAAACCAACATTCTTCTGTGAATTCCTTATGTACAAGACTTCAGACATTTCCACTTTCTCCTGTTTGTAAAACGTAAGTAAAGATTATATCTGGAACTCATTGCAATTCAGATCAAGCAGTCTTTAGTTAAATCTGTCCATGTAAAGGCAATTTCCAAGATACCTCTGTTAAAGAAATCTAAGACAGAGAACAGTGTCTAAAGTAAGCAACTGAAGGGAACATATGAATATACATGTACATACTTGTTTTTAAATGAATAGGCTATCTTTAGAAGGACACAAAAGAATCAGGTAATGTTAGTTGTGTCTGGAAGGGAACTGAGTATCCTGGATATATGGGAGCTAGTAAGTGATAGAGCCAGACTCTTATACTTTTTGTATTTTGAATGTGAATATATTACCATTAAAAATAAACAGCTTGCCCGGCCAGGCGTGGCTCAGCGGTTGAGCGTCGACCTAGGATCCAGGCAATCAGGGTTCGATTCCCGGTCAGGGCACATGCCCCGGTTGTGGGCTTGATCAATGACTCTCTCATCATTGATGTTTCTCTCTCTCTCTCTCTCTCTCTCCTTTCCTCTCTCTGAAATCAATAAAGATATATTTTAAAAATAAATAAATAAACAGTTTGAAATTTTTAAAAGATTCTGGCATTGGAACAATCTGCTTAGTATTTTGCCACTGGATGCTTACTGAGGAACTGCCTCTATTTGGCACTCACTGCCATGAAAGACAGCGTAGTGATGTATTAGTTTGCTAGGGCTTCCATACCAAATACCATGTCTTAAATACCCAGTCTATGGCCAATAAATTTAACTTTGTTTCTTCACAGTTGAGGCTAGAATTCCAAGATCAAGATCCTGGCAGAGTTGGATTTATTCTGAGACCTCTCTCCTTGGCTTGTACATGGCTGTCTTCTCATGGTCTTTTCTTCATACATGCCTGTGTCCTAATTCCTTCTTTTTATAAGGACACCAGTCCCATTGGATTAGGCCCCACCCTAACCATCCCTTTTTAACTTAATTACTTTTTTAAAGGCCCCATCTCCAAATAGTCATAGTCTGCAGTACTGAGAATTAGGGCTTCAATATATGCATTTTGGGACATGATTCAGTTCATAATAAGAAATTAAGAGCCCTGAACTATTAGCACTGTAACCTTAATTGCCCTGTACCTCAGTTTCCTTATCTGTAATATTGGAATAATAACATTTCATACCTCATAGAGTTGTTATGAGGTTTTCTAAAAGATTTGTCACAGCTCTTTGACCAGGAATAATCTAGGATCACAGAGCTGTGTGCAGTGGTTGACCAATAGATTTGGCAATCACCTTATTCTCCTAGGAGTATCAAGGATCACATCCTATCTCTAACACCAGTTATCCACTGGTCTTATTTATCTTGTCAATGTGATATTGGTGTAGGGAGAACCAGACATGTAGACCCAAATATTGATCCACAAATCTGATCAATATCCCATTGTTACTGCATAGAATAGTCTGTAATAGTCCAAGAATTGATATTGCAGGACTGAATCATTGCATTCTAGTTTGAGCAAAAATTGCATAGTTTTAATAACCCAGCATCTTTGCCCTCTGATAGAGTCTGAGATAGCTTTGGTTGCTATCTTATACCATGTGGCATACATATAACTTAATATTTTCCAATTTATAGGCGGCAGGAGCTGACAACTTGCCAAACCTTCCCAGGGGAAGAGGAAGTATTTGAAATTTGGGCTATGGAATGCTCTATTTCAGATTACATATTTATAAAATGGTTAATTTTTCACTTTGCTTTTGAATGTAAAAAATACTTAGAAAAGTACTTAAAATTTGTATTATGCAAAAAGACTCAATATTATTAATGTATTAAACTTTAACTCTCTTTTTTTTTCCAGTAATTTGCTTACTGCTGAAAAATCAGCTGATGAAGACTGTGTGGTGGGGCAACCAGAAAGCTGCAGAAGCTCTTTGAACTCGTTTTTGCTTCCAGGTGAAGATTAATTGATTTCGAATGCTAAATAAAATGTATAGACAAAAATGTACAATCAGTAAAATGTAAATGTCAGCTTCATTATATTTATTATTATTACCATCATTATTAAAAAGCACAGTTCCAAAATTATAATTTTGCTAGGAGAATGTTAAAATTCATAATCCTAATTTTGGGTTGATGCTTATAATGCAGGTAATAATGTTAAGTAGTCATGCTACTTCAGTTCCTCCATATATTATGATTTGCCCCTATTTAGGCTAACGGTATTGAAGCAGAAAGCTCTGTGCCACGATATCTAAGATGATAGTCATAAAATCTGATCAAATAGTCTTCTTGTTTAAGCTCATTATAATGAATTAGAATTCTGTTTAATATGTCATATTTATTCTTCAAAAATGTTCTCAAATGTACTAATTTAGTAAATACTAAAATAGTCAAATAATAGTTCCATCTCCTCCTAAATATTAGAATAATTTTAACTTCATATTTCCACAGATTGAAATAAACCTTTTATGTGACTACTATAGCTATAATATTTTAGATTTTTATAAATATTAGCATCATGAAGATGCAATACCAGATATAACTTTAAGTTTCACTTTTTTCCCCTAATGTGTGAAAATTTATTTCATAATAAATTTTTAGTGGTTCTCTTTATTGTACTTTTCATCTCTTTTGCCCTGTGAACTGTTTCAGACTATTTTTTGAGGGTTTTTTTATTGTTTTTTAAGTGCCAAGAATGGAAGAGTCCAACAGTCAACATTCAGCTACAGATTTGAAAGAGATATTTTCAATTGAAGAAGAAAGCCTTGTGGTTACTCCTGTAGGCCCAGAGTGTTGGAAGCAAACAGGACTAAATCTGACTAAAACTTTGGAACATCTGACTACATCTTTCAGTCATCGGGATCTATCTTCTGATGATACTAAAATTGAGACATTTTTGCCTACAAAAGTACCTGAATTAGAATGTAAGTACATAATAGTAAATACCACTTGAATGAGCATTTTCAGGATGAGACGGTTAGATACTGGCTTTCCACTAGGTGACTGGAGAAATATAACTAAATTTCAGCATTCAATATTAGCTCTGGCTCTGCCAGAATGCATAACTTTGAGCTTCACTAGGCCCCATTTTCTTCCTTGGAAAAATACGGAAATTTGACTAGCTAATTCTAACATCCTTTTCTGTCCTAAAATTCTGCAGTCTTGGTTTTAAAATTTCTAGCCATTTTTAATTAGTGACTTTGTTTCCTTTTATAAATGATCAATTGCTTTTAGTTTCTGTGTATGTCAGCCTAGACCCAAACCAGCACTGCTTTTTTTCGACCTGACAGCTCATCTTTGTTTGATAATATCTAGTCATCTCTCTTCAACAATAGAAAATCTTCCTTTGTTACCAAAAAGGTTACTCATTTAGCATTTTTTACTTATACAATTTAAGAAGGCAAAAATATCTTTTGAGTATCAATCTTTTGAGTTATTTTGGTTGCTATATATGCCCTTATAGTAAATGGAACATACTTAACCTGAATTATATCTTTTTGAAGTATATATGTACTGTTTTAAAATGTTTGTGCAAGCCCAAACAGCATGGCTCAGTGGTTGAACATTGACCTATGATCCAGGAGATTGTGATTCAATTCCCAGTCAGGGCTCATGCCCAGGTTGTAGGCTTGACCCCTAGTAGGGTGTATGTAGGAGGCAATGGATCAATGACTCATCATTGGTATTTCTATCTCTTTCTCTCCCTCTCCCTTCCTCTCTCTGAAGTCAATAAAGACATATTTTTAAAAAAATGTTTGTGCAAGTTACTAAATTCAGATCATTAAGGAGTTGCAAAAGTTTAACTTTAGTTTATTATAGAGTAAATAAATATATTTAAAAGTGAATTTTAGAAATTATTGTGGATGTTGGGAGACTACTCTAAAGAGGTAATAATTGGGGTGAGAATGGTTATCAGCAAGGGATGTTTCAAAGACAGAAGACAGAGGGCTTTGGATATGGTAGGAAGAATAATAAATAGACCATATGAAGCAAATGCACACCAGCCTATCCAAGGCCTAGATGGTTATCCCTAGTAGAAGAATTTTAAAAGAGATCAGGTCAGATTGCTAGACAAAGAAAGGGGAAAGGAAGATTTTATGGGATCTTCAAATATCCAGAATAATGTATTAAATCCATAAAATTATGTAAAGTCTTTATTATGATATGTAACTATTTTGAAATTAAAATAAAACACTCTTGAGTGTCTAGGAGTAGGATTGCTGGGTCTTGTAGTAGGTGTATGTTTAACTTTATAAGAAACAAATTGTTTTCCAAATTCATGGCACCATTGCATATTCACAACAGCAACATGTGAGAGTTCCAGTTACTCTGTATCCTTGCCAACACTTGGTATCAACAGTCTTAAATTTTAGCCATTCTGATGGGTGCGTTGTGGTATCTCATTGTGGTTTTAATTTATATTTTCCTGATATTAATGATGATGAACTTTTTACATGCTCATTGGCCATTTGTATATCTTTAAAATATATATATACATATATATATAACAGCTTTATTGAAATTTAATTCACATACCATACAGTTCACCCGTTTAAAGTATACCATTCAGTGATTTTTTAGTATATTCACAGAGTTGTGTAATCATCACCACAATCAATTTTAGAACATTTATACCAACCCCCAAAAGAAATCTTGTACCCATTAGCAGTCACTCCCCATTTTTCCCAGCTATGGAACAACTAATCTAGTCTCTGTATCTATAGATTTGCCTATTTTGAATGTTTCATATAACTAAAATTATATAATATGTGGTCTTTTCATGACTGGCTTCTTTTGTTTAGCATGTTTTCAGGATTCATCCATGTTATAGCATGTGCATATCTTATATGAAGTATTGTTCAAATATTTTGTCAAATTGTTAATTGGTTTTATATTAAAATTAAGTTATAAGAGTTCTTTATATTTTTTAGATACAGTCCTTTTTCAAGTATGTGTTATAAGTATTTTCTTCCAGTCTGTGGCTTACGTACTTGGCATGTAAGTTTTTGACCCTTAGAGTAACTGTTACCCCCAAGGCTCTAACTTATTATAAGTCTACTGATAAATAAGGTTTTTCTGGAATTCTTCTTTGCTTAGTAACCTAGCTTCAGTAGTGTTTAAAAAAAAAAAAAAAAAGAGGTGCTTGATTTTTATCCTTTAAAATTTTTATTTTTTTCAGACCAAAAATTGATTTTCAAAGCAGCAAACAAAGTACTCCGATTATATTAATAAGCACCCACAACTAAAAGGTACCCTAATACCCTAGTAGAACACTCATTTAGGCATGGAAGTCATTTGGATATTTCCATTTTCTGTTTTCAGCATGGCTAGACCATGAAAGTTGTCCTCCCTCACCTACTGTACTTATCCATGAGGAATCTACAAGTGATAATTTATCACTTCGGCAACAAAGTTCATCTCCGGCAAAAGAAAGACCAGATCTGTGTTTTTCTGATGAGCGTTTCTCTGTTCAAAGTCCAACAAAAGATGCAAAGCCAGAGGAGGGTCAAGAACTGGTTCATCGGCTAACCCACGATAAAGAAAAGAGTGATTGCCTGGGGCTTGACTGCGCAGTGCCATCCCCAGAATTGCCTTCCTCTTCAAAAACTGAAAAAGCACCTTTTCTGCTTGGTGAAAGACGGGAGGGTGGTTTGGACCTTCTGAGTGACTTTATTATGATGCGAAATAAGCATAAAATTTGCACCTCAAAGACTGAAGTCACAGATAGTGATGAAAAAAATGGTGAGTAACTTAGTAATATTTTGGCAAAGATATAATAGCTTTAAGGACTAAATGTATAATTTATTATAGAAGATAAAGAAATAAAACTCTTCCAGATAGAATATATTATTTTTCAAAGTCAAAGAAAATGTCATTGATTCATGATACTTATTGTGCATGAAGAAAGATACGGATATAGATATAGGTGTAGATATGTATTTTCATAATATTTAAAAATTGCATTTGAACTTCTAAGAAAAGTCACTATTTGTAAAACTTACCTTCTACAACTTGGCCATACAAATTCATACTATTTCTACCTTTTAAAAATTATCCTGTCATTCTTTTTTCTCTTTTAGCTGACAGTCTATCTCAGTATTTAAATTATATTTTAATGTATACTAAGAACACTTTGTCCAGGTGATTGCTTATTAGACTTTTTAACTTTACCAAAGACTTTATGTTTGAGTTGTAACTGTTTTATGTTATGCTTATAACCATATCAAAGGTAGTGTAGTGTGTCATATCATTACAGTTCTTTTTAAAAATTGGTATCATAGAATATATTTGACATAGGTTACCCAGATGAAATAACTACAAAAATATTTATATGTAAAAGTTAGAGCACACTTAGGTCTTACTGTTCTATATACTATTAATGTATATAAGATCTTGCCCCTGAATCAATTATAAAATTAGACAGGAAGTAAAATATATACCAAAATATGACCTCTTTTACTAATAATGGCTAAGTTGGAGAAAGGAGCTTAGTTTGAGAATCAAATGGCTTGCTAACTCAACACCAGAAGAGGGCAGCATTACCTACCTGGTCCCAGGCCATATTGGACTGGAACAGGATTCCCCTTGGTGGGGTGGGGTGACTGCTTGGGAAAGATTCATGACATAGAGAAATAAGGGTATGTGGAGAGAAATAAGGGTATGTAGAAAGTCACAGAGAAAATGAAACAAAGTAGAGTACATGTCCTTTTAGATGTTTGGAACTGTACTTGATGTTTAATCCTTATAGCAATATTTAAAGTAGGTATGTTTATCCATATTTTACATATGAGGAAACTGAAGCTAGTGTCAGAACTGAGACTGAAACACTGGTCTGATGCTAAAGTTCTTTCCATTATTACCATTCAACTTTCTACCCAGCACAGTGTTAGGTCCATTGACCTGAACCATTCAATTTAATACTGGTGTGTTTGAAAGAACTTGATAGAAGAAAGCGTTTATGTAGAGCAACATTAAGTTTCTCCTGAACAATGCAAACTAATATTTTTATTAGAATTTCCAGATAAAGAAGAACATCCTTTGACTCTTCAAGAAGAAAGTCCCATTGTTTGTACTGATAAAACTCTAGAGAAAATAAATCAGGAAAGGGGAGCAGATAATGTCATTGAGATTCAAGCATCAGGTATGCAATATGCTTTTAAGATACATTCAAATTAAGTAAATTTGAAAGCCCTTTCCTGGGTATCTAGAATATACCTCATTTTCCATGTAGCTTTCTTTATTTGTTTCAGATATTTCTTTATTCCACTTCTACTTTCAAGTTATTTCCAAACCTGGAAGACCCTATTCACTGCCTCTGCCTTCCCCTTTGCCCTACTCCAATCCACTAAGTGTTATTTCTTTTATTTATTTATTTATTTATTTATTTATTTATTTATTTATTTATTTATTTATTTATTAAATATATCTTTATTGATTTCAGAGAGAGGAAGGGAGAGGGAGAGAGATAGAAACATCAATGATGAGAAAGTCATTGATCGGCTGCCTCCTGCACGCCTCCGACTGGGGATCGAGCCCACAACCCAGGCATGTGCCCTGACCGGGGATCGAACCCTGATCTCCTGGACCCTAGGTAGATGCTCAACTGCTGAGCCACACCTGGCCGGGTGTTATTTCTTCTTTTAAATAGCTGCTTTCCTACATTCATCAGAGCAGAGCCAACAACTCAGACTCTTGTGCCTGGTCTAGAAAATGATCTGCTAATGGTTGCTCTGTTCCTTTACCCACTATCAGGGTGATGTAAAGAAGTTGTTATTGATTCCTACACTGATTAAATTTTTTGTTCTGCTGTAAAGAAGAATATTTTTTTACTTCTAACAAACAGCTGCTTAAGAACATCATGCTAATTATTAAAGTCAATAAGAAAGCATGATACTAGTTCTTGAGTATCTCTTCATTCCTTTGGTTCAATTTTATTTATGACATTTAGATGATTATATAAATCTTTAAATATTGATAATTAGTGAAAACTAGAAACAGTTTGTCACTGTCATAAATTTGTTTGGCTTAAGGTTGTAAGCTAATAGTTGAGAGAAAAGAAAAAAAATTGCAATTCTCTTTATATGGCTCTTCAGAGTTGCCATGTTGAGTTAGTTACTGAATAAATCCTTTCTAATAAACAAGATAGCCATAAAATTATACTAATTCTACTGGGGAAGGTGTTTTGTTTTTACTAGTTTTTGCAGCATAAAGATCTTAAAATTACCTCTATGCAATCTTAAGTACAATATCATGGCTTTTTTTCTTTTTTAATCCTCACCCAAGGATATTTTTTCCATTGCTTTTCAAAGAGAGTGGAAGGGAGAGAAAAAGAAATATGACTGGTTGCCTCCCACAAAGGTCGGGGGTCAAGCCCGCAACCAAGGCACATGCCCTTGACTGGAATCAAACCCAGGACCCTTCAGTCCGAGGGCTGATGCTGTAACCACTGAGCCAAACCAGGTAGGGCCAATATCATGCTTTTTAACTCAGTAAAGAATTTAGATAAAGTTCAGGTTTCCATGAAATAACATTTAATTGGTTTGTCAAAAAGAGCACACAATCTTCATAAAAAACACTGCCTTTAATGCTTTTATTTTTACAGATAGCCAGTGCCAAGCCTACTGTCTTCTGGAAGCAGCAGCTACCCCTATCTTAAAAAAACTGGGATGCCTCTCTACTCTCCCTGTTGCTAATTGGAAATTTGCCACCGTTATTTTTGACCAAACAAGATTCCTCTTAAAGGAACAGGAAAAAGTAGTAAGTGATACTCTTCATCAAGGTGAGTGCAAATAAAGTCACATTGTTGAAAAGGATATACATTTATGGAGTATTATCAAATTAGTAAAAATATAGAATATACAGAAATTAGTCATGGACGAAGGCATAACTGAATCAGTATATGGCACCTGCACACCAAAACTGGAGAATCAGATAAGAAATATCATCTGGCTTAGTGAGGCCCCATTGACATATACAGAGTGGGGCAAAAGTAGGTTTACAGTTCATATGGAAAATAATACAATAATTAATAAGTAATAATACAAGAATAAACTGTATTTCACATACAACTGTAAACCTACTTTTGCCCCACCCTGTATTACTTGACAGATTCCTATTACAGAAACCAAATTAACCCTATTAATGTTAGCATCTGACACCTAGTTTCCTCCCAAAAAGGAGGGGTGCAAAAAAACAGATTATAATCAATCCTGGACTTTTGCTTCTGGCCAAGATGGAGTATTAGGGATTGGATTTAACCTCCTGCCAGAAATACAGGAAGGAAAAAAAAAAAGACAAAATACATGAAACCAGACTTTTAAGAACCTAGACATCAAGCCATGAAGGACAGTGATTCCTGAGAGATGGGAAACAACGTGGTGAGCCCTACCACTGCACTAGCATACTGCCTCGAAAGAGATGACAGGCCATGACACAGGTACCTGAGGCCTCCAGAGCATGGTGGACAGAGTTAAGGAAACAGAATGGAGAGGCCAGGGAAACCAAGGCAGCTAGAGTTAAAAGAATAGAATGTTAGAGCAGAGAGCTTCTTGGAGAGTTACTTAACCTCATTAAGACTATTTCCTCATTCATAAAATAAGATTCATAATAAACTTGCCTGATAAGGTTATTGTTATAGATTTAATTAAATAACCACCTTATACACAGCCTGGCACATAGTAAGCACTCAATAATAAATATTAGCTTTTATTGTTAAATGTTCTGATACATATTCTAAAATTCTAATGTATATCTTATGTTTTTAAATATGTTTAAATCTGTTTTTGCTTACTCAGGTACAAATGATGAAAGAGAAACAGCATTTAAGCATGCTGGTCTTTTACACCTTCTGGTCACAATTCGAGATGTCCTTCTAACATGTGACTTGGACACAGCATTGGGTCAGTGGGGAAAATTTTTAACTATCATCACCTAAAAAAATAGGTTTAGGATTGATTCCCTCACCTAGGACTGAATTATGGAGGCCTAATGGCCTTAAGCAGATTTGATTGTATAATCATTATCATGCACTGATTTTTAGTGTAAGATGACATTTCCCATCGACATTTTAGGCCCTTTTTGAATATCTGTGGCTTTAAATCTTTGCTAGATAAAATATGACTAAATTATTAGTAGTAAGATCTTTTGCAATTTTTTAGTTGTATGTGTAAATGAGAATACAAACTATTTGAGTGATAAAAATAAAACTAATTTGAATGTGTTGGAAATTTTATGATCCTGGAAATCTTTTCTAAACTATCAGAATCATTAAATTATCTGTCTCACTACATTATTGTTTTAGGCCCCCTATTGCAGAATTATTGAGACTTGGTTAGTAAATAGTAGCTTATAGGAGTATGGTTTATAATTTAGAGATTTTAGAACCTGTTTCAAATATAAAGTGAAAATAATTTTTCTCTGATCTCTGACCCAGACATTTTCTTTTATCTGTGGCCCAGACAAATATTGTTTCTCTAATCCAAGGTTTTAGAGATAAGTATTGAGCAGCAGTGTGTTACAGTTATACTCCCTCTGCACCACTAGATGTTATAATACTTAGCAGTATTATATGATCTGGCCAAGTATTAGAACAAAATTACTGCTACTTTTAGAAAGCCCAACATGGTGCTTTTCCTTTCTTTTCCAATTAAACCACTTGAGTGTTGATGCTGGATCAGGTTGTCTTATCTCCATCCTCAGATAAGTAAGGATTGGGAACTATAGCCCTAATTTACAGTACCTGGAAGTAGTATAAGGGTATAGTGGCACATGCCCTTCTATTTAGCCACCTGTTTTCATTAGACTTCCTGGCTTCCATGAAAGATTGGCAGTCCTACTGGCAGCTAGGCTGATGTTAAAGCATAATAGTAAGGCAGAATGTCAGATTAGAGCATATCTGTGCTCCCTGTGCTGCAGAGAGAGTACAAGTGTGACTCACTTCTGCTCAGTACTTACCAAAACCGTGAGTTAGAGAAATACTATTTATGGAAGAACTGCTTTAAGTATATTCACCTTCAGGTACTCTACAGTTTACTCCAGGATTAAGGGAGACCATTGAGAGCTACAGACTTGAATTGTTTTTGCTTCTCAAAGAAATGCATTTACTAAATGAAACTTTGGCATTACTATTTGGCTACCTTGAGGAATGTTATAAAAGTAAAGTCCTTGTTGGAAAACTAACTTCTTAAGCCCTAGGTTCCAAGCCAAAATGAATAACCTAACTGCCTTAGACATTTTTAGTGGAGGGCTTTTTCACTCTTCTAAACTTCTCGAAATGAAAGAGCAAGTTCAGTTGTCCTCCTTTCCTTCCCTCTCTATAGTTGCAGAAGAAGAAAGGTCTCTGGGAGTCTAGCTGCCTGCCCTGCTCCCTTCCAGAATTCAGTATTTTCTCCCAGCTTTCAGTTTGCTACCTCTCCCAAGCTAGCCAACTCAAAGATTCAAGGTTAAAGATACAGAGTTTCAAAATCATAAGGATTAAAGACATTTTAATTCTTTTTTGTCTGTTATGACTTACTTTCTTTCAGATGTTTACCATGGAGTTTCTCAAAGAACAAAAAATTACACTCCCCCCCCACTTTTGTTTTTAACAGGATGTTTATCAAATGCAAAAGTTGTATACAAAAGCATTTTAGGCTCCTATTTGGATGACATTTGGAGACAGCTAGAGATCGTACAGTTTATAAGGGAAAGAAAACCTGAAATCAATTACAGAATACAAGAATTGCAATGTCAGATACTGAATTGGATGCAAAGTAAACAGCAAATTAAGGTAACTACTGGAATAAAGCAAATAATAAATAGCTTAAATAAAAACTGAATGTAAGATAAACTTTTGCATTTAATTTTGAAATTATAAAATAGTCTATACTAGTTGGTCCCTTGGTAGTTTTCTTAAGTAAGTTAACAGAACAAAATCAGATCCAGAGAAAGGATGGTCTGCATCATTATTCATGTTTTGAATTAAAAAACAATTTTTATTTTACAGTTTCCTATGGATTGCTTCTCTAAATCTCAAAAATGTTGTCTGGTGCTTGCAAGTTCATGAACATATACCCAATAATAGAACTACAATAATTTATTTTTAGATATTGAGCCGAAATCTCATTGGCTCAATCTCATCTACAAAAAACAACAATCAAACAACAATAAAAAAAAAACAACACTTAGTTTATGCCTTGGATTATATTGGAAATTTTTGCCCACCTTACCTCAAACATATGAAAGTTGCATTAATAAGTATTTAAAAGAAAATACATAAATATTTTCAAGCAGAAAAGCATTTCAAGTGCTTTACATTAAATATGGTTGGAAACTGGGCCTTTTTCTTCTTTTTCCTCTCTGTATTTGTATTCCCAACTTTATGGTTACTTGGTAATTTGCTTAAGTAATTGAATACATTAAAACAATTAGTAAGAAATTTAAAATTGAAATTGATTTGTTGTCCCCACTCCATCCCTAACCCCCTCAAAAAAACTGTAATGGTAAGTAGGAAAGTATAGCAGCATATCACTGTTTTTTTCCAACAAATTCACACAATACAGGCAGAGCAACCTATGTCTAGATAGAATCACCTGTAGGGGAATACTTTAAGAATGTCCTACTGCAAAATATTTTCCTCATTAATATTTGATCTTACCAGAATTAATTTCTTTGTATTTAAGCATGATATATTTTACAACACAATATTTACTTTGTAATTTTATTGGCATTAGTTTCATGTAAACCATTAAGTTTGTTATTTTGTCACTCTAGCAAAATTGTAAAAAAGAATAATCATTCAGATATATATGAGAAGTTCTTGTTTTTGGTCAGGTGCTGATTATAATAAGAATGGACTCAGATAGTGAAAAACACTTAATCCTTGAAATCCTTAGCAAAATAGAAGGTAGGCAGTTTTTAATTATGCTTCATTTGATAGCATATGTTTGAACATAAAAATGTGTTGATCTAACCAAGTTTTAAAATTAAGATATAATTAACGTACGATAAAATTAAAGTAAATAACTCCATGATACCTAACCAGTTTTTAAAACAATCTGGACTATAAATCTGCAATATAAACATTCTACAATGTACTTATATATACATTAAATGTACTTATGTGTATAGTATTATTGATACCTTTTATTGACTGTCTACTAGTTGCTAAATAATACTGACTACTGACAAAAGCTCTATGAATAAGTTTTATTGACTCAGTTTCACAAATAAAGAAACTAAAGTTCATACAGGTGATGTGGCACGCCACATCTCACAGGTAGTAAGTGAGGGAATCAGAATTGCAGCCTAGGTCTCTCTTGTTCCACTGTCCTTCTTCAGTTCATTCCTCTACCCACTACTGCCCCTCTGCCAGCCCTTGTGCTGTGGAACGCATTTGTGTACATGTAAACTTTTCTTCACCTCCTTGTCTTAAGTGAAACCCAATTTTTCGCAGATGATACTGCTTCCCCTCCATTCTCATATAGAAGCTCATAATTCTCTCTCTCCCCCTCTCTCTTACACACACACACACACACACACACACACACACACACACACACAATCTAGTAACCACCTGGCATTCCCCATTATCCATGGACAGCTGTATACCTGGCTCATGGGGAGATGAGTTCATGTTCACCAAATTCACAAGATCCTTAGTAGTACCAAAAATTAGAGTGAAAGTTAACTATTATGGGACCAAACCTGCCACAGTTGTCTGGAATCCGGGTAATTGAAAAAAAAAAAATTAATTAGGAAAATGCTAAGCAATGTTAACATTAAAAACAAAGGAATTTGGGTAACCAAAGGAACATCTTCTGTGAAGAAGCTAAGAAAATATTCCTGCCCCACAAACAAGAATCCTTAAACCTTTTTGATGGCACTTTTCCCTTTGATGTCACTTAAGACATTATTACTGTTCATGTATCGATTCTTATCTAGGCTTCACACTGAACATCCTTATTTCTTTTGGCATTTGATTTTGATTTCTTTTATACCATCACTACTCTTACTATTTTATTTCAGCAAGGTCTACTGACACAAAAATACTGATTTTATACACTGAAAAATGTTTTTACTCTCTAACTGGCAACTATTCCCTATATCTAGGAGTGAGGCTCTTTTTTCTGTCTAGTGTTAGAAAGTAAAAATGTGGTTCATTATTCTATGTGTTTGCAAGATCCTAGTAATGCACTCAGCAAGTAACCTGCTTTGGAATCATAGCTAATACAAATCATTTAATATTAACTTTTAAATAATATGACCTTATAAATTATAAAGAAGAAATCATACTCCCTCCTTTATTATCATATCAAGTAAATGTGAAATTATTGAGAATTACTTTGTCATTACTACATCATACCATTATGAACTTCACAGTTGACAAAGTACACTAATAGAGAGTAGAATTTATTTTAACTGGAATTAGCTATTCTTAAATCAACTATGTCTGTAAAAAGTAAACTGTATGTGTGGGTACAGAATTTTTTGGAGTTTGGTTGAAAATTAGTAACATGAAATTGAAATTGAAATGCAGTTTCTTGATGTTTAGTTACGTACTTACATTTTTGCTACAGAAAAAAGGCAAACTCTATCATGATTTTTAGCAAAATAAAATTAACTGCACAGAATTGGTAACTTTAATTTGGTTATTTTAAAATTAAGTTTTTGATCCACTTTATTATTTTACATAATACATTCAGAATTCCCATGCTTATACACACATACCAGAAATCTTGCCCATGGTTTAAACTTTCTGATATCCTACACTTAGAAAAATAATCCCCAAATTGTATTTTAATCAGTTTACTTGTTCACGGATGTTTAGTTCATTTTTGTGGTAGTGAATACATGACACACCTAAAAATACACATGAACAAAACACTGAGAAAACCTTTCTTTCACTACTGTTTTTTCCAACAGGTTTAACACTGACTGTCTTACATTCCAACAAAAGAGAAGATTTTCTGGAATCTGAAGGTGTTTTAAATGGGTAAAGATATATTTCTTCATTTATGGGGAACAAACATATGAATTCCCCAGGAAAAGCACAATTTCTCCTAAAATTTAACTTAAAAAAAGGTTTAATGAAACCTAAAATTAATCAATGTCTCTGCCCTCTTCCTGAAAAATGCTTTACATTGAGTACTTTAATTCAGTTCATTGTCTTGTGTTATATATTGTTGTTGTCCAGAATTTTAGTTCAGTCTTGCTTCAGTGTCCCCAAGTTATTATTATTGTTACCGTCATTACACAAAGTGCCTACTTAGACTTACCAGATCTTACCAGTTCTTTTGTTTAGCATTGTATTTTTAATATCTCCTTCCTTTGTTTTGGGTTCTCCTTCTTCCTAGAGTAAGTTTTATAAAAAATTCTTTCAGTGAGGGCCTGCTAATAATAAATTTAGTGTTGACTTATCTAAAAATGTTTTCATTTTGCCTTATTTTATGGGGAAATAAATTATTTCTAATATTGGATCTAAATAATAAAAAGAGAAGATATAAATCAAATAGAAGCCCATAAAAGCTAGACATAGATACCTTTTAACTACTATCTATCTAGATTGCTCTGGGTAGAAAGTAGCAGTAGAGAATTTTAATTGCAGTAAGTGCTGTTATATGACATTCAAGGATGGGAAAGATAACTTTATGATATTTAAGTATCCATCTTTTTTGTTGTTCTTAAATCACTTATAAAGCCCACTGAGGGGAAAAAATAACCTTATTTCATAGTTTTCAGGTAATATTCTATTATATAGATTCTCAAAGATTTAAAACCTCACATTTGCAGGAAAATGAGATTGATTTCTCATGGTGGTTTGTAGGTTTTGGATAAAGCTCAGGTAATAAAATTAAGGTTCCTTGCATTTGAGGATGTGAAATATTCTACAGTGTTTTAAATTCGGGTTTTAAGAAAAGTATGACTATCAAAAATAAATAAATAAATAAAATGAGCTTAGCACAATTAGAAAACAAATCAATAGAAAATACATCAGTGCTTTGTCAAGAGAAGGAGGCACAGAATAAAGAAGGAAAACATACGCCAAAACCAAGTCTCTTTCAGCGTCCCAACTAAATAATGGCACAAGTGTAATCCTTTTCCTGGCTCTCTTTTGTCTTCAGCGCAAGTTCCTGTGTGGTAGTACATAATCAACACATTGGAGCAGATTTCCCCTGGAGTAGCTTCTCTTGTGTGGTGGAATACAATTACGTAGAAAACTCTTGTTGGACTAACCACTGCGAAAAACTGAATATCCCATACATGGCCTTTAAAGTGGTGCTTCCAGACACAGTTTTGAAGAGTAAGAATATAAACTAAAATTCTTTTTTGTTCCATTAGAATGAAAAATTTCTGTTCTCTGTTTCTGACCTATGGAAAGAGAATAAGCTATGGTATTAGAAGACTTGAGTTTAAGCTCTAATCCTACCACCACCGTGTGACCTTGAACAAGACCATTAACTATCTTACCTCACATTCCTCATTTGTAAGCTTTACTGATTATATTTATCTTCATCCCTTAACTTCTAAATGTTATGTTTATTACAGGTATCAATCTGACAGTTTTATTCAATAGTACTTTATTGAATTTTAGAGAAAATTTATGTAATGTTGACTGGTTCAGAAAACTTTTAATAAGGAACGAAAAATTCTGGCCCGGCCAGGCGTGGCTCGGTAGTTGAGTGTCGACCTAGGATCCAGGAGATCACGGTTCGATTCCTGGTGAGGGCACATGCCCAGGTTGCAGGCTCGATCCCCAGTCGGGGGTGTGCAGGAGGCAGCTGATCAATGACTCTCTCATCATTGATGTTTCTATCTCTCTCTCTCCGTCTCCTTTCCTCTCTGAAATCAATAAAGATACATTAAAAAAAAAATCTGCACATATGCTTAGAAAAGAGTCTAAAACCACTTTGTTCATCCTCTGGTTTCTTTGCGTTTCTCACTTCACATGACTGAGGCTGTGAATGCTCAGACCCTTTAAACTAAAAAGCCCATAGTTTTCCTCCCAGTGCATCTCTTTCAATGTTTGCCATAAGTTACTTTCTACCCACCTCAAGGATGAGTGGGACGTTTGAATTCTGAGTCATTCCAACTCAATTCTAAAGTGCACCATTGTTATTATAGAGATAAGCAAATACATAGGAAAATGTCTGGAAGTATGTACTAAACTGTTTTTAATGTATAGTATTTAGTAAAAACTATTTATTTCTAAGTAGTAAGATAACATGGTTTTCATTTTATTCTTCAGAGCTTTCTTTATTCTAATTTCTGATATTTTACAATGAATATCTTTTATTTTTATACTACTCCTTGAACATAAACCTGTTGTTCTCATGTTCAGTAAAAAATAGAAAGAGTTGGGGGATGAGAAAAAAAATATTTATAAATTTTCTGTTATTTAGGAAGCAACTTGCTGGATAGTTTTGGTGGTTTTCTTTTGGAAATTCAGATTCCATATGTGTTTTTTGCATCTGAAGGACTTCTTAATACTCCAGAAATACTTCAGTTGCTAGAATCCAAGTAAGTTATTAATTTCATAACTTTAGCAAAGGTATACACATCCTAATGACTAAATACTATGCCATATATA